CCCCAAAACCCCAAAACCCCAAAACCCCACAGTAAGCCTGCAGTCGTATATCTAAAATTATTATTCCCAACTAGATTGTGACTTATTTGTAAAATTTTAGAAAAATTGGATTTTAGGAAGGAATAGATGAGTTTTGGGTGGTTTTAAGGGAAATTTGGGGATTTTGGGTAATATTTAGATTTTTTTGTGTTTTATGAAGTTTTGATTGTATAAGGGAGTTATTTAGAATTTTTAATTAGGGTTTTTTGATATTATGGATATTTCTGAAATTATTCGATGATGTAATAAATGCTCAAATTAACAGATGAGAATGATTTTCGGGCTTTCGAACAGTTTTTCATATCATAGCATTCTATCAATATTCTTGCCGGAACGATTTAAATTGTAGATAATATTAAGAATATCTCCTATTACCTTGCTCAGTCTCAAGGAGAAGCAAATTTTAGTACTTTGATTGCTCCATGTCTAAATATCTTACGATGAAAATGGAGTTTGTGAGTATCGAAAATTTTAGCATTTTCGTATAGCCAAGGAAAGGTTCGTCTTTAAGCCTATTTCAGATTTTCATGGCCAATTATTGATTTTGAAGCTGAGTAAAATGCCAGTAAAAATTTGGCAGGTCTGAGAAACGAAACTAAAATTATTAAATTTGGAAGATACGATTAATTAAGGCTCCTTTAAAGCTCCTTTAAGCTTGTTTAAGATGTATGGAGAAAATACTATCAATGAGAAAAATACTGTAAAAGAAGGCTTGTCCCTTAGAGTTCTCTAAATTTCAAGCTTAAGTCTTTATGCATCAATAATTTATTAGATCGCTCTTTTATTATTTGAGTGATTACCTTCCTGTAACTTATACTTTGGATATGAATTTCTGATATTTTTATTGAACTTCCTAATCATAAAGCTTCTTTTTATATAAAGCCTGGATTCTTTTGTATACCTCATTAAGCTCAAATTGATGCCAAGTTCATAATGATTTCTTGGAAAAGTTTTTGTCTCCATTTAAGATCTTTACAAAAGCATCATATGTCAAATTGTGATTTCTGTCAGTTTTTCATAAACTCTGGGATACATAACCATAGAATCTAATTTAGCTATCGAAGGTGCTTTTTGTAATTCCCAGACTATTAAGCTATTGAGTATGGCCCTTTCTCACCCTAGGAGTTGTCTGTCAAGAAATTTTCCAGCCAATCATCATTAATTTTCAAATATTAATAACATTTGTAATATGCATTTCCAAGTTGACAAATTATGATATACTACAGACGATCTCCCGTAGAAAATTTAGTTATGCCTCTCATTTTGCCGGGAACTAAAAATTGCCTCCAAATTTCAGAAGTTTGCATACTAGTCCCGATTCATAACACAAAATAAAATCTTTTCAGAAGTTTACAGCTATGCTCAGAAATCCTTTGAACACTATTTAAAAATTGAAACGTCTCTTTGACTCAGAAGATACTCCAGAGCCATATATTTCAGCTATTTTTGCTATCGAAGATAAATCTGATGATTACAATAGTGGATCTGATGGGAGATTACTATGACTGACGATCAGAAATTCATAGCTAAATTACACCCTATCAACCTCTAGACTCTAAATTAATCATATAGATCTCCATTTTGTGTATAAATCACTGGCTATGAGCTTCTAAAAGGAATAACAGGGTGTTAAAGAAAATGGGGGTTATGAAATCTTTACACCAGAGTGGAATTTCGAAACAAATCTCTTATGCAGAAGCATATCATAATAAACATTAATAAAACCCGTTTAAATAGCATTCCTAACGATAAGGCTCTATTTATAAAAGAATTTAAATTTACTTTTCAGAAATGCTCTTTGTCTTAAACTGTTAGCAACCTGGCACAGTGAATCTTTTAACAAAATGGTATACTAAAAATTCATTCTGGTCGCAAAATTTCCTTCTTTCAGTCGATATTTAGTGCGAGCTCTCGTTGAATTACTTCTTTAAATCACGACTGTTTCCTAACCTCTAATAATATGTGTATTAAAATTGTCATAACGGATATTCCATAAGTTGGGAACTTGATTATAACCCTTATTCTTAGCTAAACCTAAAAGGAGTAATGGGCTTAGAGAAGACAAAAACTGCTATTAATTGTGAGATGAGACATCATAACCCAAAGATATAGCATTTTACACCTTGAGGTGGTTTATTTCTTGCATGAAGGAAGCTAGAGGATAGCGATTTCTCATTTTAAAAGTAATCGAATTTCTAACTGGTTTTTAGCTGGCAATGATGGGAGAGTTAAAGAAATTGGAAGATAAGAGTTTAGTAAAATCTTTTATGCAAGCTAGTTTTATCAAGTAATTTAAGCCTTCAGAACTTCCTTGTTGAGAAGTGTCTCTTCCATGCTTGAAGGAAGATCTTGGAGTAAATTATGTTAGAGAATCTTTAATCAAAGTCTAGTGCTTGTCTGAGTATCCCTGCTATGGATTCATCAACCTGTGGGATCATGTATCTACACAAAATTCTGAGACTATTAGACTGAATGGTCTTCTTGAACTTTTTGTTTGTGAATCTCTTGTTTGTTTCAATAAAGTCAAATATCTCTCTTTTTACTTTTGCTTACAGCCGAGGTCAGACGGCTTCTTTATGCTGAGAATTCCTACTGTGTAATAGACTAAATCATCTGCAAGAAGTTCCTCAGGGATGACATTCAACAATGTATGCCTCATTGATACAAAGATCTGAGAGGTACTACAGTTTATATATCTTCTCTGAATTATTTCTGAATTCATGGACTTGAATAATCTCTTGATGAATTTTTAACAGATCTAAGTGCTTTCTTCATTTCAGCGTCAGGTCTAAACTTGGGCCTTGAATTAATTGGCTTTCCTAATTGTTGGCGTCATTCTGTAATATTGGAAGCTTTTGGATAAGTTTCCTTTGCTGACTCTTTTTCAGAGTAAGCAGTACTAAGTTGGTTGATATTTTCTGTTATTTGATCAAAATTTTCAGACTTAGTTAAATTCTTTGATGTATTAAGAAAAGGCACTTTGGGTATCTTATCTTTGATTTCATTTAACTCATTGGTTAAGATATGATCCTCTTGAGCACTCTGAATTCAAATTTTCTTCATAAAATCAGAATCAAAAATTCCAAAAGAACTCCAATCTTGTCTTATTTCTCAAGGTCCCTAAATAAACTAAACCAAGCTCTCCTCCAACTCTAAAAATTTCCAACTACCCAAAACTTTTGCGAAACAACACCCACTGCCTCCATCTTCCTAAAACTCTCCATCCAGTGTTCACTTACCATTTCTACAAAGACATTATCACATTTTAGCTTTCAACAGTAATCCCCTTGCCTACACCCGCTCATGGCTATTGGTTGCTCTTCTTCTAAAGGAAGGTCTGGTTCAGTTCTAAAACTCATTGTTCTTTATATATTATTCCTTTTGTTAAATAACTTAAATGCTATATGGGGTTTTGGGGTTTTGGGGTTTTGGGG